TGCTATTATTTGTGTCAGGTAGAATTCTAAAGATGTCTCCTCAAGATTCCTGACCCTTAGTTGTTCAATCAAACATGAATTTAGGTACTTTGGAGATGTAATTAAGGTTACTAATCAGCTGTCTGTAAGACAGGGAGGTTAACCTGAATTATCAGGGTGGGCACAATGTAATCACATAAGCAGCTAGAAGCAGAAGAGGAAGAAGTGTTAGGAACAGAAGCTGGAGAGACCAGAAGCATGATGAACTCAAATCAGTTGCTACAAGAGAAACACATGTAAAGCACCAGAAGGAACATGGCAGCCTCTAGGAACAAAGATCGACCATCAGCTGACAGCCAGTGTGGAAACAGGGGGCTCAGTCATACAGTCACAAGGGAATGAATTCTACCAACTTCTTCCAAGAGTTTTCCAATAAAAGCCCTGGCGGGGGGCGGGGGGGGGTTGTGGAGAGTGATTGTGTGGATCAGTGGGTTAAGCGTCTGACCTTGGCTCAGGTCATCATCTCAGGGTCCATGAGTTCAAGCCCCATGGTGGGTTCTGTGCTGACAGCTCAGAGCCTGGAGCCTGCTTCAGACTCTGTGTCTCCCTCTCTCTTTGGCCTTCCCCCACTTGCACTCTATCTCTTAAAAAAATAAACATTTTTTAAAAAATTAAATTAAAAAAAAAAAAAGCCCTTTGGGTCCATACCTTGATTTCAGTCTTATGAAATCCAGGGCAGAGAAATTAGCCAAGCCAATCCAGATCTCTGACTTAAAGAACTGATAGATAATAAATTTACATTGTAGAAGTTTGTGAGAATTTGTTCTGGCACCAAGAGAAAACTAACACGCTACTGATACTGGAAATATTAGAAAGTTTTGTAATTCAGGGTGCCTGGCTGGCTCAGCTGGTATAGCGTGTGACTCTTGATCTTGAGGTTGAGTTTGAGACCTACGTTAAGCATGGAGATTACTTAAATATAAAATCTTAAGAAGTTTTTGTAATTCAACTTAAATACATCATACATTCTTACATATCCTATTCACCAGTATTCCTTTTGGTGAACTTTATGGTCTACATTTCCCTATTCTACCTTTGTCTTAATCTTGATGTTATGGTTTGTTTTTCCTTAAATTCTAAATTTAGGAAAGCCTATGTTTCCATCTGATAATTATTTTTATATGCCTTTGCAAATCTATGAAGGGCAAAACACAGAAACAAACCAAAACCCACCAGGGCCTTCATCATTTTCTTCTGTTCTTAGGAAATGGCTGCATTTTCAGTCAATTGTCTTTTCTGGTTCTGAAGAGCTGACAAGAGAGCTGTGATCAAGCATAAAGGAGACATTTCTTTCTTTTTTAATGTTTATTTATTTTTGAGAGAGAGAGACAGAGCATGAGCAGGGGAAGAGCAGAGAGAGACATAGAATTCGAGCCACGTTCCAGGCTGTCAGCACAGAGCCCGACGTGGGGCTCAAACCCACAAACTGTGAGTTCATGACCTGAGCCAAGGTCAGATGCTTAACCCACTGAGCCACCCAGGTGCCCCTAAAGGATACATTTCAATGAGAAGCTAGCTTTTAGGGTTCTGACAATTACTCAACTCTCCTCTTTTCATGAAGGATGAATCCTTAAAAGCACAAAGCTAAGGTTAAAAAGACAGTCTCAGACAGGGAAATTATCAGTCCACACACGAATTAGGAATCTCTAGTCTTTTACCTTCACCCCTAAAACAAAGATACAAACACAGAAAAAGCCAAACCTGGAGTAAATCCTCCCCTGTACCAAACCAGCACCAGGCAATTTGTGGGGAAGCTGATTCTGGACTTCGTTGAGGTCTGGCAGGTTCTAAAATCTAGAGACCAAAGTTCTAGACTGGAAATCAAGAAACGTAGGTAGAATCTGTAAATTTGTAGAGATTGTTGCAGGTTCTAAAGTGTGTAAATCAAAGTTCTTTCTGCCTAAATCATCTTATTCATAACAATACTATTTGAAAGTTGCTTGCTTAGTCCTCAAGGCACTGCCTGGCAGACATTGTTCTAGAAGTTTTCTGTTCATGGTGACAGAGCTGATAAGAGTAAGCCAGGACAAGACAAGACACCCCACAGAACACAAAGACACTCAAAGTTTTTTCTGAGGACCAGGAGGGTAAGGGATGGGACAGGAGGTATAGTAAGGTTCAGGAGGACCCCCAATCAAATTCCCCTCCCAAGCTCCAAACGTGGGGTCCATCGAGTCACCTAGAACCGGAGGAACGAGGGCAAATGCCTCCTACACAACAAAGGAGCTCTTTAGGCCATTTCTCACCCCAGCCGTACAGCAGGACAGACCTACCAAGATCTGGCCTTGCCTAAGCTGAGCCACAGGATGAGTTTGCAATTGACCATGGAAAGCCAATTCTCTCACATGCTGCATATAGAAGCCCCAGCAGTCTTTGATAAGGTTCTGACAGGCACCCTCTTCAACAGCCGCTTGGACCCAGGTGAAATTCTCATGTGAAGAAAAACAGACAAAGGCAGATTAACTGCATGTCCCAGAACCCCTGTGGTAGCCAAAGAGCCAAGACGTACCGGCCCCTAATTAGGAAGACCAAGCACCCCAAACCACACCTTACAGAAAGCTGTGGCTCTGCACAGGTGCCTCAGTTCCCACAAAAACCAAAAAGAGACTAGAGACATACTACACCCCCCGACTTCAGCTGGGCTTGGGTCTCCTCCTCAAAGGACCTGGTCCTCAATGATGGAAATTATCTCCTTCTGGCCTCTTCCTGGGAGACTGAACAACCTGAGGTTAGGGGCGCCAGGGACTAGACTGGGCCTCATCTACACCTTTGCTCATGCGGAGAGAAACCCAGCAGTAAATTATAATTTTCATAATCCACCGGGCACAGCTTTCTTGAGCATACAGAACACGTTTAATGGCTGCTTTTAACGTCATTTTCTGTTACTCCTAGCATCCGTGCCAGTTCTGGGTCTCTACTGACTTTTCATGTTTATAGGTCCTATTTTCCTGTTTTGTTTTTGGTTTTTGTTTGCATCCCTGGGTAGATTTGGACTAGATGCCAGACACTGAATATGACATTTTTGGCTGAAGGGTTCCTTTCTATTCTTTAAATACTACTGGGCTTTGGTCTGGGAAGGTGTTAAATGACTTGCAAACAGTTTGCGTTTGTAGCTGCTTGCATTTATACTTTGTCAGGAGGGTTCAGAGCAGCCTTTAGTCTAGAGTCAACATGAACGACCCAAAGAGTCACTATTTTCCTGAAGTTCCACTGTGATTCTCCCAATGTTAGGAGGGGTTTCCATTCAGCTGGTGGAAACACAAATTATTCCCCACGTGTGCAAGCTCCAAGTATGGTGCTGCCTGTTCATTGCCAGTGGTTCTTTCTCCAGCCCAGGGAGTTTCCTCACATACATGTGCTGATCACAACTGAAAATCAGGTGTGGGAACTCTCCCACCCTGGGTGCAGCTCTGTCCTCTCCTGCAATCTGTCCCATGAATTTGAGCCACTTTGAACTCTCTGAACTCAGAGGCCGCCAGGATCTGTTTAGATTCCCTGTCCCGATGCTGCAGAGTGGAAACTCTCTCCAGGCTATAAACTGGGGTCAATCTTAAAGCTTCCTTCATTTGTTTCCTTTCTCTAAGAGATACCTGTCCTGATGTCCCTATTACTCTATATCCGTTCCTATATTCTTCTATCTTTTTCATTATTTAATGAGGGTATATACATTAAACACTTACTGTTAAAGAAAAAGGGCTGTTTGGAATTGGCTGTGAAAAATTCTCACTTAGGTGCAGCATGGAATATGCATTCTATACTCAGAACGGGATAATTTATACAATTTCAGAATAGATACAAACATATGTTTGGCAATGCCTGCAGCACAGAAATCTCATGTTCCTTTAAAACATTTAGGAGTTCTTTTCTAGTGTATCATTTGATTTACATATTTCAAGAGCATTCCATGGTGGTCACATCTAATGACACAAGATTCCTCGATTTCAGGGAAAAAAAGCTACTGTATTTGGACTGTGATAACTAAGGATAATTACTTCTCTGGGAACATGCTTCTCTAGATTTACTTAACAGCTAGGTAAGAATTTACTGTAGTATGAATTCTCTGGAATGTAATGTTTTTGTGGTAGACTAAATAGCCTCATGAAAATGTCCAAGTCTTAATCCCCAGAACCTGTAAATATGTTATGCTACAAGGCACATGGCATTTGAAGTAAAAGATGCAATTTTAGGGCCATATGACTCGTTTCTGGAGTTTCACAGGCTCACAGTCAGAGGGGAACTGTGCTTCAGGACAATCTGTATGCAGAGCCTCACCCAATGCTTAATTTAGAGCTTTAGAACTGATAAAATTTAGGTGAGATTTTTAGACTTTGAGTTGGTTCTGTTAACAGTCTGAGACATTTGGAGGTACTGGGATAGAACGAACGTATTTTCCATGTGGTATGGACACAAATCACTGGGTGCCAGATGGTGGTTTGCAATAGTAGGATAATGGCCCCCCAAAGATATCCACATCTTAATCTCCAGGACCTGTAAATATGTCATGGATAAGGCAAGGGAGAATCAAGGTATTTAGGCAAGGTTGCTAATTAGCGGATTTTAAATAGGAAGGTTATCCTGGATTATCTGGGTGTACACACAGGTCCTTAAATGTGGGAGAGGGAGGCAGGAGGCAGTGCCAGACTGATGGAAGAGTTGATGGCTATTGCTGGGTTTGAAAGTGGAAGGGGCCTGCAGTCCACAGATTTGGGCAGCTTCTAGAAGCTAGAAGAACAAAGAGAACCCTGGAGCCTCCAGAAAGAAATGCAGTCCTGCCAACACCTTGCTTTTAGCCCAGTGAGATGAATTTCAGACTTCAGACCTCCAGAACTGTAAGATAATACATATGTGTTATTTTAAGCCACCAAATTTATGGTAATTTGTTACAGAGCCCAGAAAAAACTAATACACTTGTATCTCCACATTCATCATGTTCATAGGTTTTTGCTACGTAATGCAATTCCTGGTGTCCAAGTTTTCATTTATTAAAGAAGTCTTTCCCAGATTCCCAAGGTATAAAATTGTGACACATTAGTTAGTTTGGTGATAGGATTTCCATCTTTTTTTGTATTCAGGGGTTTCTCCTTCCTATGGGTTCTTCTGTATTTTACTAAAAATGTTGTCTGTATTCGGTGTCTCTGGTGGTGTCTTTTCTACACTTCTCTGGCATGTGATGAGGTACAACTTATCACTGAAAACATCATCACATTCTTTCCTCATGTTCTGGTCCTGTGGGAATTCTTTTATACCAATGGAGATAATCCTCTCCAGGAAAAGGCTTCCCACAATAGCTTCCTTTCCACACACTGGGATTTCATGGATATTTAATAAGTGGTGACGTAGCCTCTGCCACCACTGTCTCCATAGCATTTCTGCCCCAAATGAGCTCTGACAGAATGTGTCAGAGTAAGGATTCTTATTAAGGCCGTTCTAGAATCAGATACATTCTGGTACCAGAGGATTTTCTTTCCTACACAACGTCTGTAACATATAAGACGTATTTTATTACAGAAGGTGTGGTCACATTAACTGCATTTGCAAGACTTATTCCCTGTGCAAATTCCCGATTAGCTACTGAGGCCTGACTTCTTAGAAAAGGCTGTTCCAGAAACACTACATTTCTACCCCCGAGGAGCTCACTGAGGTTTAACAAGGGCTGAGTTCCCGAAGAAGACATTTCCGCAGGTACTGTGTTCATCTGGTTTTGCTCCTGTGCAAGTTCACTCATATATAAAGAGCTATGACTCCCTGAAGAAGGTTTCGCCACTTTCAGTGAATTTATAGCTTTCTCTCTTGCATGAGTTTTCTTATGTTTAATGAGCACTGACATGTGGGCAAAGGCTTTGCCACATTCACTGCATGCATATGGTCTCTCTCCGGTGTGAGTTCGCTGATGCTGAATGAGCTTTGACTTGCTCCTGAAGGCTTTTTTGCACTCACTGCATTCATATGGTTTCTCTCCCGTGTGAATTCTCTGATGCTTGGTCAGGTCTGACTTAAAAAAGAAAGTTCTTCCACATTCACTGCATTCATAAGGCTTCTCTCCTGTGTGAAGTCTCTGATGTGCAATGAGGTATGCCTTTTGGGAAAAAGCTTTCCCACACACACTGCATCCATAGAGTTTCTCTCCAGTGTGAGATCGCTGGTGTCTATTGAGCCGGCACTTCCTGCTGAAGGCTTTTCCACACTCATTGCATCCATAGGGTTTCTCTCCTGTATGAGTTCTCTGATGTACCATAAGCTGTGACTTCCTGGAGAAGGCTTTTCCACATTCGTTACATTCATGGGGCTTCTCGCCAGTATGAGTTCTCTGGTGTTCAGTGAGCTGAATCTTCCTCATGAATGTCTTCCCACATTCACTGCATCCATGGGGCTTCTCTCCTCTTTCAGTTCTCTGATGTCTAATGAGCTGTGCCTTCCTGGAGAAGGCCTTACCACACTCACTGCATTCATGTGGTTTCTCTTCTGTATAAGTTTTTTGATGTTCACCGGGCTGTGATTTAGTGCATTTAATTCGAGTAAGAGTTGTATCCTGTTGGATGCAGAGAGAGGATTTCCCATATCCATTAAACTCATGAGAATCTTCTTCATATCTTCTATTATGGAGAACAAAACCTAAATGTGATTTCAAACCTTTACAGTGTGAACCAAACTTATTGTGTCTTTGTGTTAAAGGAACAAGACTTTTGCATAAATTGAAATTATTTCCAAGTGCATAACTTTGCTGACATCTTTCCAAAGTTTTAGTCTCGTTTTGGTTTTCTGGGTGCCACTGCATATGGTCAATCTCCCATATTTCTTCTAGGAAAAAGAACAATGAAAACATCCATGATAATTTCAGGGGGAAAAGGTGGTTAAAAAAAAAGCCATGGTTTGGGCTAGCTCTAAGATCGAAGTCTAAGAGAAATGTACCCTGTGTCTGTGAAAAAAAGACATACAACAGCAAAAGGAAAAACATGTACTTTAGAAACAACAATGGATAGTCTACAATGAATAAATATAACTTAGGCTTCTCCCCAAATTGACCCTGCAAAATGGAGAGAAGTAAAAATAGAACCACACTGTGAATCAAATAGAACAAAAGAAGATGGAGGGACCCATTCATCCAACAAACACTGAAAGTGCTGGTGTTTGGGAATATATTAGAATATGATATTAGAACATTAGAATAGTATGCTTGAATATTAGAATTAAAATATATTAGTCACACTAAAGTAACTTATGTATTCTGTCTCCGTGGAGCTGTCATTCTAGTAACAAGAGAGAGAAAAAGATGGGGGGAAGGGAGGATCAACAAGTAACCAAAGAAATAAAACAATTACAGATTGTGCAAAACTGTGTGTATGAAGAAGGTGACAGAGTGGTGGTAGGTTAGCCTTAAATAAAATAACCATCCATGAGACAAGGAAAGTTAAGGTGACACCACGGGGTAAGAATGAGTGATGTTACATAGGCAACTCGATGAGTAACATTCCAAAAAGGAACAGCCAATGCAAAACTCAGAGGCAGAAAAACTTAGGCATGATGAAGAAACATAAGAGAGGCTGGTGTACCTGGACTATCCTTAGCTTGAGTGAAGTAGAAGTAGATAAGTTTGGAAAGGGAGGCAGAACTGAGAACATACAGATGATATAGGAAGACTTTGTTAGAAACTGTATTTTATGGTGCCCCTGGTAGCTCATTTGGTTAAGCATCCAACTCTTGATTTTGGCTCAAGATATGATCTCAAGGTTCATGGGTACATAATCTGCATTGGGCTCTGCACTTGACAGCACAGAGCTTGCTTGGGATTCTATCTCCCAATCTCTCTGCCCCTCCCCCATTTACATGTGCACGTGTGCTCTCTCTCTCTCACAATAAACAAACATTTTTTAAAAAAGTTTTAAAAAATTGGACTTTATGCTAAGGACAATGGCCAGAAGCCACCAAACATTTTCTGGCAGGGATACAACCCATTCTGAATTGGTATTTCCAAAAGCCACATGGCTGTTGCATGAAGAATGAACTGGAGAGTTGTGAAAATGTTGAATCCACAGCAGAGTTCAGGCAAGAGGTAACAGCAGCTTTCAGGGAATTGGATGGCTCAGTAGGTGAAGCGTCCAACTCAATATTGGCTCAGGTTGTGATCTTACGGTTATGAGACTGAGTCCTGGGCCAGGATCTGTGCTGAGTGTGGCGCCTGCTTGGGATTCTCTCTTTCCCTCTCTCTGCCCCTCCCCCACTTAAAAGAGGTAACAGCAGCTTCAGTGTGACTGATCACAATGGAGTTAGAGAAATGTACAAAAACAAGGACATAGTACAGGAAGGGAAGGACAGTGACAGGAGGAAAAGAGAAGGCTCACTGTAAGAGTGGATGCCAGAGGAAGAAAAGAGAATCATCAAGGATTGCTCCTGCACGTGTGGCTTAAGCATTTGTATAGGTGCTGGTGCCATTTAATACAATGAGGAAAATCAGAGAGTTAGGTTTGGGATCTGTGGAGAATCAAGTGCTCCGCTGTGAGGTACACATCAGGTCTGAGATAACATAAACATTCAAGAACAAATATGAAATAGGAGTGTGGAGAAAAGTTCCAGACTTCAGATAATAATTTTAAGTTGAGTATGTAAACAATATTTAAACATCTGGACTACACAGAACCAGATGAGGTAGTGCAGGAAGAATGGACAGAGAAAGTAGAAAGCCCTGGACAAGAATTTCATGGATTCCAAGTCTTAAGAGTTCTGGGAGAGGGATATGCAAAAAGAATATGAAAATCCCATCCAGAGACATCAAACAAATGCTGACCAAACATATAAAAACAATATAGGTTTTTATAACAAAGGGCTGGAATTGGAAAATCAGAATGTGGCATCTACAGAATCTCATCCCAATGGGGCGCCTGGGTGGCTTAGTCGGTTAAGCATCCGACTTTCGCTTGGGTCATGATCTCGCGGTTCGTGGGTTCAAGCCCCGCGTCTGGCTCTGTGCTGACTGCCAGCTCAGAGCCTGGAGCCTGTTTCAGTCTGTGACTCCCTCTCTCTCTGACCCTCCCCTGCTCACGCTGTCTCTCTCTCTCCTAGAAATAAATAAAACATTAAAAAAAAAAAAAAAAAAGAAATGCAACAGAATCTCATCCCAAGATTCCTGAGGTACAATAGTCAATAATCACCTTATTACTAAACTTATTTCCCCTCTCATTCTACCTGCACATCAAAACTAAACTTTTATAATAAAACCAATGACCTATTTAGAGTAATACTGTAGCCAATAGTTCAACTTTCTATGTAAAAACGATACAACCTCACCCAGTCCAATATATCCAGACACATATATGTCCATCTGGAATTTAAAAATAGGTCCTTCCGGGGTGCCTGGCTGGCTCAGTCAGTTAAGCATCTGACTTTGGCTCAGGTCATGATCTCGTGGTTTGTGAGTTGGGAGTCCTGCGTTGGACTCTGTGCTGACAGCTCAGAGCCTGCAGCCTACTTTGGATTCTGTGTCTCCCCGTCTCTCTGCCCTTCCCATACTCATGCTTTCTGTCTCTCAATAATAAATAAATGTTTAAAAAAATTTTTTTAATAAAAATAAATATAGGTCCTTGGGCCATCCACTCTTGTCCCAGAGAAGAGTATAGCTGTACTAACTGGTAGAAACATCAGCTTCTCCTCAGTTTAATCATACTGCAACTGTGTACTGTGCTGTTCAATAAAATCTTCTCCAACAATGGGAATGTTTCATATCTGTGTTTTCTAATATGGTACCCACTAGCTATGTGTGGCTATTGAGCACTTGAATGGCGGTGACCAGAGTGACAGGAGAACTGAATCTGTAACTTTACTAAATGTTAAATAAATTTAAGTAGCCACATGTGACCAGTGGCCAACACAATGGACGGCACAGGTATAGACCACCATATCCATATACTGTAATACCTATATTTGCCATTATAATCTATTTGATAGACTCATCCCCAAATTTTTCTCTTTCAACTAAAGCCACATTCTTCCTTAATCTCTGTTCCTACCTCCTCTCTGGTGCCAATTAAGAGATTCTGAAGAATCATTCTCTATCCAGGAACAAAACACTGACCTGCCTTATCTCCCACTTATTCTAGAACTCCAAGTTCTAACTTCCTATTGTTCCAAAGCTACTACCCAGCTATCACACAAGACTCTCTAGAAATAGCCAAAAAAGATAACAGAGAACCAAATTCACACTTTCTAAGCCAATCATTAACATAAAATCCACAGTAATCAGTCATTTCCTTTCACACAGTCTCCTATAGGCCAATCTATTAAGAATCTCTCACATTGCCTTCTTCATTTTCATCTCCAAAATCTTTTTAATGACCCACAGGACTTCCATCATCATTTTTATTTGAAACTCTGCTATCTTTCTTGCAGAAATTATTTTATCATGCTTCCAAAAAGTACTTCATTCTTTCTGTAACACTTTATCTCAAAACTCAATTTTCTCTAATTTTGCAAAAACAGTCCTTGTCTATGCCTCATAATCAAATGCTAAAAATTTTAGAATTTTATGCATCTCTGTCAACTCTTTGCAACTGGGGACTTTGGAAACTTGGAAGGTAAGTCTGTTCTTCATTACATTTGAACCCTTCGGAGCTGTATGAGGGTGGCAGTTCTACTACAGGGATCAAAGCACAGCTGGGCTAGTGAGCATTTCCAACCTCATTTGCTCAGGGCCCTCCCCATATCTAGTAAATCAGAAGCTAAACCTTAAGAGACCAAGTCTGTGGTTTGAAAAAGCCCCCACACAGTTTATGCATATCCCTGATTTAAAAACAAAATTAAAAAACAAAACAAAATCAAAAACAAAAAACAAAGCAAGACCTGGTTTCAAGATGTGATGAACGATGCACGTGAATGATGATGCAGTCTGCATGCAGGAAGGAAGAGTGAGATAGAGGCCCTTTCTCTGTATGGAAAAGGAGTCTCATCCCAACCAGTGAAACAATACAATAAAACGTCGATCATGACTGAGTCGGTGCAGTTTAAACAGAGTACAGAGGAGTTAGGGAAGATGGGGTTCCAAGTGTGCACTGGAATTTCGGAGAGATAAAAAGAAGGCAGTATTTGAACATAAAAATGCAACACAATCAAACACACAGATGCTGGTTCTTAGTTTCCCGGACATTGTGTTATCTGTGGCATTCAATAAAATGTATCACTTCCGCCTCCTCAGAATAAGTCTGTTGCTTGTTTCTGGGACATCTTCTGACCGTCCTCCTCCAAGAGCCCTGATACTTCTCACTCTACCTGGCTGGGTTCTTATCTTCTCAACCTCTAAATATATGTGGACCTCCTGGTTTATTTGTTTGTTTG